TAGCCTAACTGTATATGAAATGTTAAAGTTTCATTAATACAATACATCTATTTGTATCTTAATCCTAGAATGTACTATTTATTGTGAATGAGTTTTACTATGTGCTTAAGGCCCCTCTAAAGTGTTGGGAGCCCCAAATTCACCAAAAATATGATGGCAAAATTTCACTTAAATTGTATCAAATATAATGTAAAAGAACATGTCATTTAAGATACATATTCAAAAAAAAATATGTGTTTAAAGACAAATTTTGAGAAAATAATACATAATTTGGGTTTTGTGTTGTACAAAGAAAACCTAAACTTTGTATTCTTTCATCAATATTCAGAAGAAATGTACATTACGATACAATTTAAGTGAAATTTTGCCATCAAATTTTTGGGGCTCCCAACACTTTACACAGGCTTTAAAATGATCAAAAGATAATGTGAAAATCATAGAGCTTGTAAATGCATCAAGCTATACTGTGCCTGGGTAGTACACTAAGTACATATTTGAAAATAAATTATTGCTATATGGCTGGTGTGTGGAGTTAAACGAAATGAGTTAAATCAAGTGGACGAATAAAAAAAAAACAGCTGCCCTGTTGGTATCCATTTCCAAAGTATTTACGGCATAAATCCCTAAGTTTGATACTATACTACAATGTTGAATGCACTGATTGCTTGATGTTAGATTCCAACAAAATAATGATGATGAGAACCCAATAGTTGTGTGGTGTAAAAATAATGTTCAACATGCTGTAACGCGTGAAAATAGATAGTGTAACGAGTCAAAAATAATTGTGAAGTAAAACAAATTAATAATAATAATAATAATTGTGAAGTGTCCATGTGATGGCAGAAATAATAAAAAAAATGATAAAAGTGTCTAAATGAGAATTAAATTGAAGCTCGAGATGGAGGAAATAACCCGTCATTCCCAAAGTCATCATGCAAAACCGCTGGGGGAGGGAGGGGGAGCTGTTCAGTGCCAGAAGTGCGTTAACTCTTCTGTGGTAGAGTTCGTTGAAGAATAAGTTACCGGTAGCTCCCTTCTGGCCCTAAACAGACAAAATAATCTTTCAAATGTCACCTCCTAAAGATTCTGGTTTGTTTTCAAGGAAGAGGGGGGGGGGGGGCGGGGTTACAAAGGTTGATTTCCACTCAATATGAACTGTATGACATCTATTTCATTTTTATTTTTAAAATATATTAAGAAAATCTTAATATAACCATTTCATAATGATTGTGCTTCTGGAAAGATTAGGCAATGGTTATTTCCAAAGATTTGTTTTTTCTTTATTTTGGGGGATGAACTAAATAAATAAATATGGTACGGAGCACCTTGCAGGGAATCGGACTTGCCCCAAAGCACATGCATACATTCTTCCCAAAAGAAATATAAGGCCAGACATAAAGATTCACATATTACAAAGCACACACCTTATCCAGAGTAAAAAGAAGAAAGAAAACAAGTTTCCCCTTAGTGATTTGAAGAGTCCACAACTTTGATAGACTTCTTAAATTAATTATCGACATAACAGCTTTATTTTGCAACTACAAGGTATTTGTAAGAATCAAATTCAAACTTTTTGAAGGGTAAATTATATTCTTCGAAGTGATAACTGTCGCAAACATTTTTCCTTTACATTGATGCACACAGATGCCAAGAATTTTGATTCTCAATGCAGATTCATACATGTACCAACCAAGGAACAAGGAGGGCATCCCCCTCACTCAACCACTGCAAGTTGTACTCTTGTCCTACAGTTATCCATGTACCATGGCTTTGAACTTGCAGTGCCTGTGAGGGCGCGTCTATATGAACTTCAACTACACATCCACTGCAATTTTCAATCCATCTCCTACACTAAACCATGTACGAAGGCTTAGAACTTGCAGTGTCTGAGTGAGGGTATCGCGTCAAACTCTGGAGAAAATCTCATTCACTAAATCATTAAGCATAGATCCCTGCTGTATGTTTTGTCTGTTTGGAGCCAAAAGGGCATTAATTCTGTATCAAATTACAGTTAACCCCTCGGCGACTGATTTCTCACTTTCTCATAGGCTTAATACATGGACCATCCGGTTCCAGTAAGCAAAGGGTTAATAACACCCTTCTGGTTCCAAACACACAATTTCCTCTATTCTAGGAATGCAACTGCTCCCTTATAGCAGTCACAGGAAAGCAATCAATACACCTTGGTGGTGGTACTAGCAGAGGGGGTGTAACTCCACAAAAGTCAAAATTAGGAAATCGAAATGTCCTTGGGGGAAAAAGGGGGTAGACAAAGCCTTCGCATGCAAAACACACTGCCAACACCAAAACCAAAGCTAGGATGCAGAAGGACGTTAAAACACATTCAAACACAGATTCTTTCATACTACACAAACAAAGCGTCTTTCTTGCTCTCAAACGATAAGGAAATATGACATGACCAAAGCGTCTTCCCTGCTCTCGAACAATGAAGAAGACACTACAAAAGGGTACAGGGTGACATAATGGATCCCTGAGGCACACCGGATACAAAAGGACTGTGTTAGGATACCTTCCAAATCATAACAAAACAAGTAAAACGAACGAAAATCATACAATTTGACAATGATAAATGAGGAATATATAAATGGGTGACGTGATTCATGAGTAGTTTATTTAAATACATGTGTACATGGTATATGCATGCAGTAAATGTTGGTTACGATACATTGCGTGGCATATATATACAGTTAAGAAAGCTACATGAAGGGAGTCTACATGTAAGTATTGCATGATATATAAATATGTTATTTAAGTGGATGCAAGCAATAATATTTTTGTCTGCATGAAAGCGATTTACATCTACTTAAGTAAAGCAATTATGAAGAAAATGAATGTCAAGAAAACCATCTGTGTTGATGTAGTTTTACCATCACCAGAGCCCTTTTCACAAAACTTGTCATCAGTGACAAATGACTTTTTTTTTTATAAGCTACTGACATCCTTGCTTCTGATTGGTCATCGGCAGATTTGTCACTGATTTTTGTCATTTGTCATTGACAAAAAGCTTTGTGAAACGGGTCCCAGATCAGAGGGAATATGGATAAAGGAAAAGTACAAACAGTGGGAAGTGGGAAGAATTCAGAGTGATGTTTCTAGTTAAAGACTATAGAGGGCACCCTATCACTTTTAAGTGTGTTGCACCACGATAGCTCATGCATTGAAAAATCAAGTCTAGTTCCGGTTGTGCGAATACATTGTAAAAGAAACCATGTAGAAGTGAATGGAAAAGGGTCAGCATGTCGGCCATACATATTGGCGCATTTTGTGAGGTTTTGGAGTCATCAAAAGCAGAATTTGCCCACAAAATGTGTATATATGGGACTACACAAACAGGTGGCCCTTTCGTGTGGTCCACAACATTCAGCTGTTACATGTCACATTTCAAACATCAAACATCTACACTAAAAAAAAAATTCAAAAGAAAATTTCCAAGAACCCAAACTTCTTTCTATAAAGCATCGGCATAAAGGCAAGACATGCATGGTATTTTTACTCAGATAGCACGCAACGGTTCCTTTCATTACATTCAATATTTGTAGCTGAAGGTATTCCAACTAACATAGGTCATTATTCTTTTTATTTTTAGCACTACATAACACAAACTACTTCAGACACGAAAATGTTAACAATCCCCCAAAACCAAGTTCACCAAGTTCACAGTTCCACTTTTTTTTTTCTTTAAAAAAAGAAGTCATTATGCATGAGCCCTATTTATAATTTTGAGAATTTGAGGGAGGGAGAGGGGGGGGGGGGTCTAGACTTAGCTTTATTTCCCCCCTTATGTAATGTTTTAAAAAATGCAGAAAAACCCTGTTTGGAGCCAGAAGCATTTTGAATTACATATACCTAAATACAGAGTAACGTCTTTCTGGCTTTGGCAATATATCAACACACTGTATCTACACTCAAACATGCAAGAAAAAAAGATCAGATAAATATGTAAATGATTTGCCATCCAAAAATAGAAATGCCAAAAAAGAACATGCTTCAAAGAATACATAAATAGTGTTTATTGTTAGATATTACCTTAAATATGTGGAAATTACGTATTTACAGATGTTTTCAATTCTATCGTATCTAATTGCAGTCATACGCCTTAGTATGAACTTAAAGCTTACCGTAGATACCTAACTATAACTTCCCCTGTTGGGTTTGGAACTAGAAAGTCCTTTAAGGACGACTAGGATTAGGTCTGATAGGAAGGCCATTTACTCATTTACCCCAGTGCAGTGTTAACGCCCTTTTAGATCTGAACGGACAATTCAGTCATCTTATCAGACCCTAAAAGGGCATTATCACTTTATAGTTACATAGTACGACTTGAAGCCCCTCTATCGTCCTTTTTGCTCTCAACTCAGATCTTATCTACACTCCTATGCATGGTGACTGCTTGGTGAGCAGTAGCTGTTATGTTTGATGACGGATGCTTTACATGCAAACAACACCTCAAGGCGTACTTGTTAAAAGGCATTAAGTACGGTGAGAACAAATCCAGCCCCACCGCTTTCAACGTTTCCTGCACCATCATCCCTTTTAACAAGCATTTCTTTATCACTGTTTTTGTTGTTCTTCTTCAAATTATGAAGGAGTTGAAAATACCATCAATTGCTGCCAATTTGAGGAAAATTCTGGGGCCTGTTTCATAAAACTTGTTATCTATAACAAGTGCTAAATTTCTATGACAAATTTGCTCTCAGCCAATCAGATGCCATGATTTCAGTAGCTTATAACAGTAGCTTGTACCTTGTTATTGATATCAAGTTTGATGAAACAGGACCCTGGACTACTACTGGTTATCAGCAAACAGTCTGCACTTCAGAATTTGAGATGTTGGATAAAAGAATGCAGGAATCAAGAGTGATCGGAAGCGGTGAGCGAGGTAAATGCTTTAATAGGTATTAATTATTAATTTCTGTAAAGTTAGGATACTGCAATCTAGTATTTAGGTGAGTTGAGGTTGGTATTAGAATGACGTATACCTGAGACGCCGTTGGTTTGACTGGGGGAGGCGGGGGTCTGGGCGGTCTGGGCGAAATCGTAGTTTCCCTTCAGCTTAAACATCTGCTTGAAGTGAGGCTTGCAGAAGACGGTGCCCTGGCATGCAGCGTATGTGCCCAGGCTGTGAGGCGAGAGAGGGAGGGAAGAGGAGAGAGTAGGCGGGACAGGAGAGAGAGAGTGGGAAGAGAGAGGGACAGGAGGGATAGAGGAGGGAGAGTTGGAGTGGGAGGAAGAGAGGGATAGATAGAGGAGGGAGGGATATGGAAGGAAGGGAGGGATATGGAAGGAACGGAGGGATATGGAAGGAAGGGAGGGATAGAGAAAGAGGGAGAGTGGGAGTGGAAGGAGGTGGAAGGAGAGAAAAGTAGAGAAGGAGGGGGAGTGGGAGTAGGGTGGGATTGATGGAGGGAGGGATAGAGAAATAGAGAAATAGAGTATGATAGGTGAGAGGGGGAGGGGTTGAGAGGAGAGGCGAAAGAGGGAAAGAGAGATGGACGGGAAGGGAGTGGAATGGAGGAGAGGGAGCGAGTGAGGAAGGAGGAGAGAGAGAAAGAGAGAAAGAGAGAGCGAGAGAGAGAGAGAGAGAGAGAGTCACACAGAGAGAGACAGAGGGAGGGAGGAGGAGGGAGGTAGGAGGAGGGAATGAGAAACGAGGCAGACACACACAATACATAGAAAAGTTTGTTTTTTCAGACGGTAAAAAGAAAGAGGAGAGAAAGAAGGGTCAAAGAAAAGGTAATGAAAGGAAAAAGACAGACACAAAATGAAGAATGCATATACAAGAGAGACGAGACAGCAAATCGGAAAGAAGAAAAAGCAAGAAGGAGGAGAGACAGAGAAAGATGGATGATTGAAGAATGGAGAAGTGAGTGAAAGAGAGATATGCAGGAGAGTAAAGTGAAGAAGGTAAGAAAATAAAAATAATGAACAGAGTAAAGGATGGGGAAGGAAGAACAAGAAAACAAAAGATTCACCATTAAATATAGTTGACACAAATATACTTCAAGTAACAATTATTCAATTGGATGAGAACGGAATCCTTTGTAAATTCATTTGAGAGATTGTTTAAACAAAGTTGTAATTTGTGAATGGCTCAGCCAAACATATACGCTACGTGCATGTTCTGTAATATTAACATGAGTTATTCACATGATTGTGACTTAATCAATATTTTTCTATTGACATTACTGTTGAACTAGGTTAATGACATATGTTTATTTTGCAAACGAGTAGTATTTTTGTCTATTATTGCTGTGTCATATCTTTCTAAAAATATGATGGAATTTTATTTTAAGTGTTCTGTGTAAACGTTATGCTTTTTGATGTAAATATGTTCATGATTATCCAGGGCCCCATGGAGGACCACTACTTATTGCTGGATGGGCAACCCTGAAAAAAGATTAAAAATAAATAAATAATTAAAATGTTTTACTAGAAATAAAAAGCATTCATATCATTTTGGCACGTAAAATAAAATAAAATAAATCATCATATTACTATATTCCTTGCATAAGGAGATGGGTAGAGATGACACTTCTTCAAATTCTTCCATTTCACCTGCATCCTATTACCGGTAGTTACTCCCAATCTTCACTGGTAATAGACTCATCACTCTTCTGTGCCCTCCCCAAACACCCTTTTATAATCCTTCACCTTCTCTCTCACCCTACCATTCCAAATTTAGCCCACATTAGGCCTGTCTTCATCAGCTCAAGTTTGCCAAATAACCCGCTATTTTCAGACTCTGGATATTATCCCGAAGCTCGAAATCGCGTCTTCACCAGACCGATACCCTCATCACACTAGGCCGGAGCAAATTAGCCCTGTATTTCCCAAACAGTGGGACATTTTGGAAACAAGACCAAGATTTCTCTGTATATTTTCTCGACCAAACATCCCACTAATTGCAACTGCGGGCTGATGGGATAGTTAAAATAGCAGGTTTATTTGGCAAACTCGAGCTGATGAAGACAGGCCTAGTAAGAAGGCGATGCAACGGCCTATACGTCAAACCAGGTGAGCGTCGGTCGGGCGTGAAACAAGCTTCACGCTCCCCAGTAATTACAACACATGTGCACATGGGGGTCACTAGCGATGCAACTAAGTAATAAACAGTATTCAGCCCCTCTTACGGTAATCAAATTGAGAATATGATCTGGTATTAAGACCTCTGAAACTCTCTGGAAGGATTCTCTAATCTTATATAATCGCATTTACCAAAATCAATTTGCTCCTGCAATATGCACTTTCTTCTAATACCAGGTGAGGCCAGGTGATTATCAGTATGTAGTAGTACAATTTTGTCGGTTTAAAAACTTCAGGCTTCAAGCTAAAGAACTTGAATATCCAAAGGTTTGCATCATTTTCCTTTGACTAAGTACCATAAATGACATCAAATAACAAATAAATACCTACCATATTATTACCTCCTCCCACTCAGCACATTCCTTTTTCTTTTTTTTTCTGATGACACCATTTCCCCATGATTAAGCACCTTACATAACAGACACTATGCACATTATACATAAACACCTAACACCTACCTTAGGGCTTAGACACTCTTTGCACTCGCAACATCTTAAACATGTCTTATTCCGGATGAAGAAGTTAATGACTTAACTTATTAAATAGGTAAGAGTACATTCGACCTAGCAGGAGTAAGCACCTTATATATAACCTACACTTTACACAGTATACATAAACACCCAACACCTACCTTAGGCACGTCTTGCACTCAATATATCTGAAGCTCGTCTGAAGAACTTGATACTAAATTCAGAACATTTACACCATTTTCCCATTACTTAGCACCTTACATCACATACAATTTATGTATTATACATAAACACCTAACACCTACACCATTTTCCCATTTTCTTATTACTTAGCACCTTACATAACAAACAATTGGGGGGGTTATACATAAACACTAACACTTACCGTAGGGTTTTCTTGCACTCTGAACATCTGAAGCATGAGTTATGGTATATGATGTTATACAAAAACACCTAACACCTACACCATCTTCCCACTACTTAGCACCTTACATACAATTTATGCATAAAAAATAAACACCTAACACCTACCGTAGGGTTTTCTTGCACTTTGAACATCTGAAGCACGAGTTATGGTATATGATGTTATCTGCTGTGATCTTCTCCATGGGGTAGACTCGCTTCTGGCACACTTGATACTACAATCAGAACTTTTACACCATTTTCCCATTACTTGGCACCTTACATACAATTTATGCATCAAAAATAAACACCTAACACCTACCGTAGGGTTTTCTTGCACTCTGAACATTTGAAGCATGAGTTATGGTATATGATGTTATCTGCTGTGATCTTCTCCATGGGGTAGACTCGCTTCTGGCATACATGGCACAGCTCTGAGATGACGGTCTGCAGAGGGCGGTAAAGAAAAATAAAGAAGAATATCTTTGTTAAATGGCTGAACATTTCCAGGAGTTTGACTTGTTTGCATCATATATGGCACATTTCTGAGACAACAGTCGAGAAAAATATAGAACAGAATATCTTTGTTAAAATGGATGAAAATCTCCAGGAGTTTGTCTTGTTTGCAGTTTACATGGCACATTTCTGAGACTACGGTCAACAGAAGACGATTAAGGGGGGATCGGAATATCCCTGTTACAATAGTTAAAATTTTGCTTAATTCGCTTGTGGCATATATGTGATTTTTTTTCTTCTTCATGTAACTGTCTATAGAGGGCGATAGACAATAGGAGAGAGTAGAGTATCATCATTAAAATAGTGGAAAATATCCTGGAGTTTTGACCCGTATGTGGCATTCATGGCGAGGTTACACGTCTTAGGTTCGTCTATAGGGGGCAGCAGAGAAAAATACAGATTGGAATATCCTTGTTGAAATGGCTGAAAATTTCAAGGAGTTGACTGGTTTCCAGGGCAACATCTACTTTCTATAGAGGGCAGCATTGATAAACGAAATATATTGCTGGTTGTCACTTCCAATTACCTTTCTTTTTGGGTTATTCAATTGCGCTGACAACTTCTTGAAAGAATTGATTTTGTTATAAAGTTTTAGGCAAATTATTCTTTTTAATGGATCTAAAAAAAGCACTTGCCTTATTGAACGGAATGCTAAGAGGCAAGAGTATGTCGTGACTATTTTATTTTCTATTTGAGAGTTGAGACATATGTCATTTTTCGAAAGGTGCTCCTTCTTTGTCCAAATGTTTTGCAGGTTTTTGTGCTCCTTTATTTCGTTTTCAGGGGGGCATTCGTTTCACTCTGTATTTTTAATTCATGTATTCAGTGTATTTATTTGTGTAATGAACAGTCAACATGCATGTTTACTTCCCTCACATGGAAAACAAAAGGCTCAGACATAGTTTACAATGGGCCGAAATTGGAGACAAGACATGGAACACAGTTTTATGTTCTGATGATGTGTGAACACGGTTTTATGTCCATGAAGTACTTTCTACAGGTATATCACGGCCCACGTTCGAGTATCGGGTTCTGCCAAGCTGTCATCACGCTTGAAACACAAGACGCAGAAGTGGGTCAAATGTGCGTTCACAATCCAAGCCAAGTCTAAAGCACGAACTGCATAGCTCTTCTATACAGATCTTAGGCATGTAAGTATAGAATTACTCAAGGAAGTGAACTAGTGGATGCACTCACAGACCTGGGCCCCGTTTCATGAAAATTGTTTTCAAAAACAAATCACAATAAGCATTATAAGCTACTGAAATCGTTGAATTTGATTGGTTGAGAGCAGATTTGCAATGGAAATTTCGTATTTGTTATTGTTAACATGTTGTGTGAAACAGGGCCCATAATTACACAAGGAAGTGTAATAGTGCGTGTTCGTGGATGCACTCACAGATCTGGGCCCTGTTTCATAAAACATGTTATTAAGAACAAATGCTAACTTTCTATGGCACATTAGCTCTCAGCCAATCAAATGCCACCATTTTAGTAGCTTATAACAGTTATTGTAACTTGTTATCAATTGATAGCAAGTTTTATGAAAACAGGGGTCTGTTTGAAGGCTCAACGAGATATGATGCAGTAAACTGCTGCAAAACATCTATTTATTTATTTATTTAAATAAATAAATAAATAAATAAATAAATAAAACAAGCTGCCATTTCTACATTTTTTAGTGTAAATAAATGGCAACTGCGAGCATTAAAGGTCCAATGTAATATGCATAATCACTGTGTTCTGTCTCATAAGATATTATGGAAATGTGACATATTTACAAACACCCCCCCCCCCCCACCCCCACCCCCAATTTAGTTTTTCATAGGTTGATTTTATTACTGAATTGAATTATTTCCACAAAACATGAACAATAAAAGCATACATAATGATAAATTTACAATCACAAGAAGTGGAGGGATAACAAAAGTATAAATACTTCTCTAAATGATACCTACATGTACAATCAATTGAGGTGGAGGAATAATAAAAGTATAAATACTTCTCTAGGTTACCCCCTTAAACAAGTTTTTCTAAACAGAATTAAGACAGATTGTAAAAGTTCTAGCTGTTCACACATTATTCTATTTCATAAGTGATAGGTAGACTTTAACGAGGCTCTTTTCCCTTTCCTCAAATTGGCAACAAGTTAAAGTTTAATAATCATAATAATAATAATAATACTCCGTTTTTTTTTTTGCGCTTATTAGAATCACTAAGCGCTTCCAAACTTGGAGATTATTACACCGGCTTTAGCTGTGCTGCCATTGCGGCGCTCTAGCATTTCAAGGAATTAATTCCTGCCATTTTCTTTCACTTTGGTTCGACCTATCACCTAAAAAGAATGTCTGAACAGCTAGAACTTATACAATCTTTTTTAATTTTGTACAAGATCTAGCTGTTCACACATCATTCTTTTTAGGCGATAGGTAGACTTTAACGAGGCTTTTTTCCCTCTCCTCAATTTGACAACAGGTTAAAGTTTGCCATTTACTTTCACATTGGTTCTACCTATCATCTAAAAAGAATGTCTGAACAGCTAGAACTTATACAATCTTTTTTAATTTTGTACAAGATCTAGCTGTTCACACATCATTCTTTTTAGGTGATAGGTAAACTTTAACGAGGCTGGAGAAATGGCCAGAGTTAGAACAACTAGCCTTGATGATCACGTTTGTCTGTCGCGATGAAGTCATCAGCGGTTAATGGCTAGTCGATCAGGTAAGTGTCAAATTTAAACTAGCCACATCTCATTAGGAAATGGCTCATTTCCTTCTATTTGTCAACATCAATAACGACCCTTAACGAGCTACATACACCAAGTCCAGTATTCAAACAATTAAAAACACTGTCTTTAACAAGCTACATGTACACAAAGTCCAGTATTCAGGAAATTGAAAAACAATATAAGAAGTTTAATACACAAAGTCCAGTATTCAGGAAATTGACAACACTATAACAAGCTACACAAAGTCCAGTGTTCAAAGAATTATAAACACTTTAAGAAGTTACACCAAGTACAGTATTCAAACAACTGAAAACACTTTAACTTAAGCTACACCAAAGTCCAGTGTTCAAAGAATTATAAACACTTTAAGAAGTCACACCAAGTCCATTATTCAAACAATTGAAAACACTTTAACTTAGAAGCTACACCAAAGTCCAGTGTTCAAACAATTGAAAACACTTTAACTTAAGCTACACCAAAATCCAGTGTTCAAAGAATTATAAACACTTTAAGAAGTCACACCAAGTCCATTATTCAAACAATTGAAAACGCTTTAACTTAGAAGCTACACCAAAGTCCAGTGTCCAAAGAATTGAAAACACTTTAACTTAGAAGCTCATCCAGGTCCAGTATTCAGGAAATTGAAAACACTTTAACAAGCTACACCAAGTCCAGTGTTCAAATAATTGAAAACACTTTAACTTAGAAGCTCAGCCAGGCCCAGTATTCAAACAATTGAAAACGCTTTAACAAGCTACACCAAGTCCAGTGTTCAAAGAATTGAAAACACTTTAACTTAGAAGTTACACCAAAGTCCAGTATTCAAACAATTGAAAACAATATAACAAGCTACACCAAAGTCCAGTATTCAAACAATTGAAAACACTTTAACTTAGAAGTTACACCAAAGTCCAGTATTCAAACAATTGAAAACAATATAACAAGCTACACCAAAGTCCAGTATTCAAACAATTGAAACACTATAACAAGCTACACCAAGTCCAGTGTTCAAAGAATTGAAGAATACTTTAAAAAGTTACACCAAAGTCCAGTATTCAGGAAATTGACAACACTATAAGAAGTTACACCAAGTCCAGTGTTAAAGACCATCAATACTACTGGGCCAGAAGGGATTAGACCACACAGCGAGGTCACTGACAGGTGGCTATCTCATTAACTCAGCTCTCAACTAACATAAGAAAAAGAGGATCATGGGGGACCAATAGGCGCCGAATGGGGAAGTTTTCTATATAGAGGGAGCAAGCTTAGCTACAAGTAGGACAGTGGGTCTTTAAAAGAATTGAAAATACAAGAGGTATATTGTCCAAATTCATAATTTTTCCCTCTCCTCAAATTGGCCACAATTAAGCCTACTTGCCACTCCTAATTTTTGTTTATATTAAAAAAAGAAAAATGTTTATGAACGAACCAATATGATTTAGTAAATGGCAAAATACTACAGAACAAAATTGCCAATTTGTACACGAAAATTTACAGAAGTTGCTAAATTAAAGCTTCTTTTAGTTGGGTACAATTAAATCGCTCTTCTTTGATAATTAGACAAGGTACATGATTTCCTGCAATGGAAGAGGGTGGGTGAGGGTGGGTGATGTCCGTTGTGTGTGTGTGTGTGTGTGTATGTGTGGGGTGTGGGTGTGGGTGGCTAATAGTCCTATTCTTAGCTTCTAACAACAAGTATCTACCTGCATGACTTTCTGCATTGGAAGAGGGTGGGTGGGTGAGGGTGGGTGAGGGTGGGTGATGTTCGCTGTGTGTGTGTGTGTGTGTGGGTGTGGGTGGCTAATAGTCCTATTCTTAGCTTCTAACAACAAGTATCTACCTGCATGACTTTCTGCATTGGAAGAGGGTGGGTGGGTGAGGGTGGGTGATGTTCGCTGTGTGTGTGTGTGTGTGTGTGTGGGTGTGGGTGGTTAATAGTCCTATTCTTAGTTTCTAACAACAAGTATCTACCTGCATGACTTCCTGCATTGGAAGAGGGTGGGTGAGGGTGGGTGATGTCCCCTGTGTGTGTGTGTGTGTGTGGGTGTGGGTGGCTAATAGTCCTATTCTTAGTTTCTAATAACAACATGTATTTTCCTGTTCCTGTATAGGCTTCCTGGCGTTCAACCCACCCACCTTCCTGGACAAATGAACCCTGGCGAAGCCCTTTTAAAAGTGAAGCATCAACAACATCAAAGAGAAA